AGTAATGAGAAAAAAATCCTTATTTTAATCAGAAAATCCTCATTCCTATCACAAAAACCCTTAATGCTGCACAGATTATAATACCTTTATCTCTGTTACCTGCATTGCTGGGTTAGATAGAACTTATTGTGGTCACTGGTTTTGGCTCTTAAATCTCAGAGGCAAATGTTCTTCAAATGATTAGGAACAAAAAATGAGTGGGAATTACTTCCCCCTCTCCCCCCCTTTTTAAATAATAATAAAGAAATAATGCTGAAAAATACTAATTTCTTGAATAGTTTTTATGTAGTTCTGAAGCAGTGCTGGAAATATTTTTATGGAATTCACTCATATTGTAAATTCTTTATTTTCTTTGCGATTTTAAAATTCCAGGATATTCCTGAGAAGCAGAAGCCAACATCTTGATAAACAAAGCACATCTTTGACCCAGAAATGAGGACATCAAAGAATCTCTAAGATTTAACAAGGATTTGACAAGATGCTTTGCTGGTGGACTTTCAGTAGGAATGATTCTGCTTTTCTGAAGCACAAAACTTTGTACTCAAGGACTCCACAGCAGCAAATTTCGGTAGCATCGAGAGTGTTACAGCCCTGGAAGGAGCAGAAGGGTAATGCTGTTGCCAAGTAAAGGTTGCTTTTTGGAGAAAGGTTTCTCTATGGATTTAGGGGGTAGCAAAGAAGAGAGACAGAAATGGCTCTAGGCCAATTCCAGGAAGTTGTCAGAAAGGTTTTGGAAAAACGCGGAGAAGTGTCTGTTATAGCCTTCAGGATACTGCAACCAGAGGGACAGATGGGACTGCAGAATGAATTGATGTTGCTCCCTCTGCAGTGGATAAAGGCAGATAGTCCAGTTTTCTCTCAAATTTTCAAGGCAGAGGCAGGAGGGAGATGGGACTTGCAGGATGTCTTGTGAACAGTAGGGTATATTGCACTGCAAGAAGTGCATCAAAACAAATGACTACCTTGCACGAAGCTGGGAGTGGAAGAGAGGTTTCCAGTAGGCTTCCTTTAAAGGAAGGGATTTTTTAGAGCTGAATTTTAAATAAATATTTATATATATTTGGGATTGAAGTCAGTAGTATAAGACAACATCTGACCAGGAAACTAATGCAAAATATCTTGGATATCCACCAGTGACAGAGAGATTCTTTGTCATTCTAAAGCAAACCCGTGTTCACCATAATTCAATTTGCTGCAATTTTAGTAATGGAAAATAGTAGTGTTTTATGATGAGTCGTAAGATTTTGCTGGCTGCAGTATCTGTGTGTCATCATAATCAGACAGAATAGTTATAGAATGGGCCTAAGCAGATGGAACACTAAAATAGATATGAGATTTAGTTGTACATTATGCTAGAAAAGAGGACTCAAACAAGCACAAAACCAGATGAGGCTCTAGGGTGTTCTGTATGGGACCGAACTTCTTTCTTGTACTGTTATCTCTGTAATCCCTTAGAGGATTTCAAATGAGATATATATCCAGTATTTTAACAGCTTAAAAATAGGTTCTTTCATTTTTATTTTTTTTAAAAAGGCTGATTTTTGTCAAAGCTGAATCTATCTCTATTTTTGAGCAGCTTTCTGCTACATTCCAGGACTGAATGCTTGCCTTCTCTAAGTTTCCTCAAAATATATTCTATTTAAAAACTTAAAATCCTGTAGTTTTGTTTAAGTTGATTACACTGGTGTTGGTATAAGCTCTATGCAGCCTGTCCAGTCACAGGTGTTTCATTTTTTGCTCATCTGTCTTGCTTGCTTGTAATATCTAGGGCTGTCACAGAGCTGTGTGCTCAGAAGCAGTTACGTTTTGAAGAGCTAGAGAAGGAAATTCAGTAACTTTTCCTGTTCTTACAAATTGCCGCTAGCATACAAGCTGTGTGAATGCATCATTACTGAAAGTAGGACAACCTGAAAACAACATTCAAGTCCAAGTTTGAAGAAACAGAGGTCCACTAGAAAAAAAAAAAAAAAAAAAAGCTAGATCAAAAGAATGTATCTGTATTCACCTTTTTTTTGGTTATATTGGAATCAGCTGAAAAAGACAAGCTTGTTGAATATGGAGATTATCAAGAATTTAATGTAGTGCCTAATTCATGATTCAAAACTAAACAACAGTAAGTGCACCATCTGGATAGCTAATGATTATGATCTTTTCTGAGTTCTGTGACATGCTTCCCAGAGTATATTTTTCTCATTATGCCCCTCTGTCAGTCAGTGTTAAAGCTGACCAGCCATGTGATTGGTGAGGAAAATTACCGATAATCCTGCTTGCTTGCAGGAAATTTGTCAGGTTGTGTCTCCTGCATGCGTTGTTAACATTTCAGTATGTACCACTCTAGGGTTTTTTCAAGATATTCCAAAAACTGTTGAAAAATGGAGATAATAGCTGGGCAGTTTATGAATCTCTGGTTGAAAGTTCTGGAAATGAGCCATGATGATTGTGTTACGTTCACTTAGTTCGATTGCAGTGATCTCTCTAGTCTTCCAGGGGGAGATAATAACACAGAGAGCACACCATGCAGAGCATGATGAGTCCTGACATATTTTCCTTGGCTGTAGGCAGGTTAAAATTGGTCTCTAACAGCAATGAGAAATAATGTAAGCAGGATACTGCCACTCTGCATAGATAGGAAATGCTGTACCACAGATGTCTGATGAAAATGTGGAATCTTTACCGGTGGCAGTGTCTTTTTGCACTTCATATGTAACAGCATAAAATAGATCTGCAAAAGGAGTTCTGTGACTTTTGGATGCTGAATTTATGGTTGTGTCGTTCACATTTAAAACTTTCCTAGAAACTCAACTATGAACATGCAAATAAATTGGATTTGTTGGAACCACGGGTAGAAATTAGTGTGAAGAGTTAGACTCAAGGATTGTTTGAAAGCATTGGTTTTTACTTTATTTTTGCATGGATAATTATGTTCAGAGTTGACCTATGTAAGCCACTGCATCTGACAGAATTATTTTGGATATATATTCTTTTAATTTTCCCCTGATCTTTATTCATGGCCTATTAGTGATCTGTTTGTGGGGTGTTTTGCTTGCCTATGCAAAGCCTAAGAATTGCTCACATACAGACTATTTAGTGCACATCATCTGCACATCTGGGGTTCTGTTGATCTCTGCTGGTTACTTGGTTGTGTGTATTACAAAAGAAGATTTCCTTCATTCTCTACATACAGCTGTCAATACTTTTTTCCTAATGTAGTGTATCAGTCTAATAATTCAGGGATTTATGCACCTGAGGATTAAAGAGAAATTAATAGAGAGAAAAGTCTGACAGTTTGCGTAATTTTAGTTGTTAGGAAAGGAGCTTGCTGTCATTTCAGACTATTAATTAAATTCAAGTGCCAACTCCTAAGGCACTCAGATTGTTGTTTGGCTCTGAAAGGTTATGAAAGAATAAAGGACTCTTTCTACCTACCAGCTGTAATTTTCTTAGTTTCAACTAAACAAACTTGGTGAAACATTTGATCTAACTTTTTATTGTGTGGAAAGATCACACATGACTAACGATGGGAGAACAGGAGTGATTAAATCGCAGTTTAAAAAAATAATTAAAATGGGAATTTTTCAAGCATGCTGGCATTTTACTGCTGCCTACAGAGGCAGAAAAGGTATATTTGTCACGAACATATAATTTTTACATGAGAGATTAAACCTGCATTCCCATGGCCTGTGTCTGTTTTTGCTAATAGTTTTTCACAGTGAAGCAGAAAAATTTGATAACTGTATCTCTTTAAGATATGTTTTTTGCTGAAACCTATGCATGTATTTAAAATAAGGTGTTGGAGGCTTCCTTTTTTCTTGTTTCTTTTTTTTTAAGGGTATTTACCACTATCTGGAGTAGTAAATCCTTGGCCACCAATCCTTTTAATAAGTGAATACCCTGAATTTGAAACATCTGAGTGTTTCTAGTACTTTCAGCTACTGTAATAATCTACAAGACAGTAGTTTTATTTCTCAGCAGTAACTGGAGTCTGAAATTGGTAAATATTTATGTATTTATGAACTTCAGTAAAAAGTTATGCAAAGTCATGAAGAGTTGAGTGTGTTGTTAAACAAGATCTTATTAGGTACTGGATTGTATATATATGTATGTGTTCTGAACTGTGCCACACTTCAGTGAAAATTCAGAATTAATGTGTGAAAGCCTGAAATGCTGTAGCATTTTATAGGTAGATGTAGAATCAGATATCTTCAGATGTGATCCTCTCTATTTTGGCTGAAAAAATTAAACTGGTTGGCTAACTGTACAAAAGAGGTGCTGATTGAGAGTGCCGGCCTTCGGTGAGGTGTAAACTCTTCAGTCATTTTTTATAGCCTGTGCACTTGGCCTTGCAGGCTTCTGTAAAGATTAGCTAAATTAAAGCCAGACTGAATGAAGTCTGAAAATATTCTCTTATTTCTACCTTCCCAGACTAATTGATAGTTTTACAGGCAGGCTTCCCCCCCCCACCCTCCTCGAGAGGCATTGTTCAAACCTGTGTGGATAACCTAACCTTTCCCACTGAAACTGGCTTTATGTTTGCTCCAAACCATTTCACAGCTGACTTGAGACTTCCACTGCTTTGAATGATCTTCCTACTAGTTCCAAAGACAACCCCTTTGCCTTTAATGCGAAAAGACCTGTCAGTGTCTGTTCAAAACAGTGAGTGCTCTTGGAATCACTTGTGTGGATTTCCCTCAACCTATAAGCACATGTGTTATACAGGCTTAAGCTTAAGTGAGGAGATTCCAAGTTGCCATGCATTAATGAAAATAAGAATTAGAAGCAGGGGTGGAGCCTGTCAGCAGAGGTAGCAGTAGCTTGTTAGTGTGGCTGACATACTGGGGTATGCTTGGCTGTGTATATGTGTGCGTGTATATATGCACATTATATATATGTGTGTATATATAAATGTGTATGTTTTTATATACATAAATTAATGACTACAGGATCTCCATTTTTTGTTTACATGCATGCTCCTGTGCTCCTTCTTTCCCTCATAGGAACCTCTCCTCCTGGTCAGGTGGCCTTACTACATTCAGGATTCAAAACTATCCCAGACAACTCCTCCTGGGCAGCTGCGGAGCAGCCAAGGGGAGAAGCGCAGTGTACACGTGGGGGAGAATGGCAAAGGTGGCTGAGTCACAACAAGGTAAGGAAGCCTTCCATCACATAACTATACAGCTGTATTCAGGGATGACTTCACCCTCTACCTTTTAATTTATTTGTGTAGCTGTGTATGCAGTTCCTCAGCCAAGTCTGGACTTAACTATTCATGTGTCTAATTCTCAACTCTGTTTTGATTAACAGATCAAATTTGCCAGTCATGATATGATTATACCATTACCTCTACATAACCTTGCACTTAACAACTAATAATCCTAACTAGTAGTTAAATACTTTAAATGAATGGACATATTGTCTTTGATTTTTTCTTTTTTTCTCACCAACACTTGTATATAGATTTCCTGTGAATTAGATCATTCTTATCTCTGAACACATCTGCAGTTTCTTTATTCAGAGCAAGCTTACATTTTCTGTGCTTACATTTCTGCAGAAACAAAAATCCAAATAGAGGCAAAAGAAAGCAAATAACTTGGCAAGTTGTAGAGATGCTAGATTTGGAAAGTGTGCCTAGCAAGGATTCAACCACTGTACTTCTTTACTCCTAAGTATATTCTGAATCCCCCCGTGGCTATATTTTGTGTCAGCAGTATGACTTTTCTTGTAAGAACTGCAACAGTCTAATTGTCAGTTCCTCATGTCACTGTCATCTGGGTATGCAACGTGATACGTAAACATAACTTACTATCTAGGTATGTAAACATGGCTTGAGGCCAAGAATATACGCAAGGCAGACTGCAGAAATAGCAGAGTTGGGTTCATGGGATAAATGTCACCCTAGAATTTGTCCAGATCCTTCACTGAACTGTTCTGACACCAACTAAATTTGAGGCAACAGCCAAAACTAATTGAAGCAAAGTGACACGCTGAAAAACTAAGGTAATCTAGTGATGCCAAAACACACAAATCAGATTTCTTCAAATGGTGGTGCTCTGATTGTGTGCAAACTGCCAGTACATTTTATTAATCATTTCTGTCATAATTCTGAGTTGCACTTTCCTTTTTGGTGTTGTCCTGATCCCTGAGGAAAATGCTGCAGAACTGAGGAGGAAAGGCTGCACAGAATGCAAAAGCTGTGTTGATAAAGGGTGACATGAGACAGGACTTCACTTCTGAATAAATCTTAGTAAAATTGCTCCATGGATCTTTGTACAAGTGTTCTTAATAGGCTGATTTAAATGAAATGTAAACCATTTGAAATGACTCCATGAAGTAACTAATGGATTCAATTGGTTGCACTCTTAGGGTGAATGGTGAAGTAAGTTTAATTTGCTGCTTTCTGTTAGATGTCTTGGAATGATCAGTGTAAAGATCTGAGTGAAGAAAAACTAACTCTAAGAGGTAGTCTAGAACATGTACTGAATTAATGAAATAAGCAGAATTTAGTAAACGGAATATTTCTTCTACTGTGAGATAGAGCTGACAGTTATTGGAACCACAAAGTAAAGCTATTCAGTTGGAAAAAAAAAATCATAAATAGTCTACTGTTGCCTCTAGCATGTTTTGCATTGGATTGAAATGGTTCCTCAGAAAATTATAAACTATATTAATGCATAGAAATGACCACACACAGAAACTATTTTTCTTGGCATGCTGTTTATAGCCTGAGCAAAAAAGAAAATAATGAGTTTGTTGCGCTAAGTGACATCTATACTTTAAATATTGCTGTTTCTGTATTTTTTTTTCCATTTGTCATTTTCCTTTGTCACTTAAGAGAAACTAGGAAGGAATACTAATTAGGAGCACAGTGAATATTTGGTCTATGCTGGTTTTTTCTTTTTAAGCCAGCTTCATAGGTTTTTCCTTCAGATGTGATACTTTCTCACAATGGCTTATATTGTTCATTATAACTAAATAAATATGTATTTTTTGACAATACCTGCCCTAAAACCATGACCTATATTGTCCTAATGAGCCTCATAAACCTTTTCACTTTTATTAGAAGGTATTTTATACCCAAGCAAAACATATATGGAAAACATAAGAAATTCAGTAGTGACAAAAAAGGGCAATCCACTTAGGTGAGAGTAATCAAGTTCACAAACACGGGATGGGGAAGAACAACATGGGTAGCTTTGGGGCCTTGGTTTAACCTCTGTGAAGGTTTTTACCTCTCCTATTATTAAGAAAATCCTGCAACACTAGCAATCCTAGCATCTATCACAATGAAAATGAGGATAACAGTTTTCATAATAATGTGATAGCTAAATTTTGTGTCAACATTTTCATAACAAAACCCTTTTGAGAGTTTTATTCAGCCATGGAAGTATTGTAAGATGATACTCTTACATGCTTTCAGCCTAGGAGTATTTTAAAAAATCTGTTTAGCAGCATTGCACGTTATTTTTTTCAAAAAAGCAACAACAGTAATCAGGAGCTCCATTGTAATATGCACTCAGTGATCTCACAACATCACTATGTTAAAAGGTTTAATATTCTGTGAAATAATATGCTGCTTGGAAAAAATGGGGTTTATACAATTATGTATTTCTGTGTGTTCCCATAGACAAGTGGAATTTGTTGTGCACACTGACTGCTGTATGAGACTCGTAGCATGACAGAGTGGGAGGGAAGCTGCTCTGCCTGTCTGCTAGATATGCTGAAATACAAAACTGGATTGCTGCTGGTCTTATTCTCTTTAACCTGGGAATTGTTAAATGAAAAAGGACCTAAAAATGGGTTTGAGAATTTGGGCCTTCTAATTTTGATAGTTGTGAAGTTGTTTGCTTTTCTTGATCCAACTTATGATGTATACCTAAAACAAGATCCACAACTCTTGTTCTGGTGGAATTCAAATATCAATTTTAAATCTGCTGCATTAAAACACAAATTTGTGTAGTGGTTCTTATGTTTAAAAGGGAGGTTTTTTTAAAAAGCAAAATAAGATTTCTTGCCTATGTTCAAGTGCCGTTTTTAACCTGAAAATGGAGCTTTGGGATGAACCTAAGGTAAGAGGTAGCAAATTGTCTGAGATGGTAGGTGCAGTTGCACCTTGAACGATGAAGTTTCACAGTTCTCAAAACCTTATCTTCTCAGCACAAGAAAGTTCAAATGATTGGTAGAGTTTGAAAAACACATTTCACAGTATTTTCATTAGCTTGCAAAAGCAAATTTGCAAAAGTACTAGATATGTCAAAAAAGCCTGTTTTGAATAGTGCACAGAAATATTTATTCATAGATTTAAATTTAGTCTTGGAGAAATTTTTACATCAAAGACCATATCTAGAACTTTTTATCACTGTAGTATGGGCTGTGCAACTAGAGAATGTTTTAAGCTGTTATATGCAGTGTATAATATCTTATTCTGACAAAAATCATTCTGCTGTTTAAAAAAAAGTACAGGAAAGGCAAGTGAATGGTCCTACTGATAAGATTGAACTGACAAAGTAAGAAATGCAATAATTTAAGTAGATGGTTAGTCCTTCAGTAGAAGGATATTCATAAACTTATCATATAGTCTTATCCTGTAATGTGCACAGTGTATGCTACAGAAAACCTAACAATACTCCCTGGAACGAAGTAGTACTTCTTGAATGATAATCCTGGAAATCATTTAAGATCTGGGGTGCTTTGGGATGAGGTTTTAAGGTGTTACAGTTAGTGGTATTTCATATTGCAAATTTATGTGTTTTCCACCTGTAGACAAAAAAAGTAAGCTTGAATAAGGCTGTTGGAATACACTTCTAAATCCTTAAGAGACATTAAAAGTCACCATGAAGACCTAAATAAGCATAGCCTGATTTTCTGTTACTATGAATAGGAGCTTTGATTTTCATCATAGGTGAAACCCAAGTTCTTTTATGTAAGTGTTTGTCAATATATATGTAGTTTCTGGTCTATAAATTCTCAAGAACCTCAGAAGAGGCAAGTGATGATGTGAGGAAAACTGAGCAGAGAGCAACCTTGCGTAGTCTGCTGTGGATCACTCTTTTATTACAGCACCTAATGATGAAGCAAGAATGTTTTGTAGGATCTGATGGTTTGGGTTTTTTTTCCTTTGTTATCACCCACTGGGTTACTGTGACTCCTCAGTGAGACTGAGGGCTTATGTTGGACACTGAATTTTCAAAGGTCTGATCCATGAATTGTCCGTCCTTGCAGGACAACAGCACTGAAAGAAAGCAAAATGTTCTGCAACTGATCTGTAAAACAAAGAGGAGCAGACCTTAGGTGCTGTTCAAGTGCTCCACCAGCCCTAGTGACAATAAACAGTTCAGGGTAGAATCAACTCTTCAGGACAAACTTGCAAAGCTATTGGCAATGCTCTGTTGCAGTTCCATATCATACTTTTCACTTAAACAAATGCTCATCGGTCGTTTGTCAGTTGTGTCACTACTAATTCTGCTGTGGTGCTGTAATTCATTGGCATGTGCAGCTTTGATAGAGCTGTCATTACTCTGGGCAAAATAACTTCTTATCCTGTGCATCTTCAGAGCCTTGTCCTTCATTTTGAGTGTAACCTTGTCCTCATGGAATGAAGATACTGCTTTTCTAATTACTTAGTAAACTGGCTACCTTGTATAATAGGCAGTATGTTCTCAAGTATTTTGTTCAATTGGTACTAAAGTCTTAATAGACAGGGTAAGACAGGAAGAAAAGGTTGTTCACAAGTAGCACTGACATTTTAAACTATTGAAAATAGAAAAAGTTAAAGCTACAGGCATTTGTTTTTAAGGTAGAAAAAACCCTATGTAAAACTGTATTAGTAGCTATGAAAAATCTGAAAATTTCTTTAGAATAATGGATTAATATTCATTTTTCAGAATTTGCAACAAATGCCAGGGAGAAAAGTAACACATAGATTTTCCAGACCAACCAGAAGTCTGTTTGGTCATCAGACTTCAAAAGAACCATTCCAAGGTTATCAGCTTCTTATCCTTGGCTCCATATTTTCCTCACTGTGAGAGGTGTCATTAGATTTTCCTCCCACCCCTCTGCTCCACAGTGACCCCTTAACAATGATGTTCCAAAGTGAGGATGATACTGTGAGGAATTATTAGCCAGGGTTCATTCATGGAGCCCTTTGAA